GGTATACCCCTGTGGTCCTGTAACGTTACTGGTTACGGTCATTGCTCTACCCTTTGCACTTATACATGTAACTTAGGAAGCAATACAGCAGTACTTACGAAGTAACGTTACATTGATTATTATTGATTATTATTATTATTATTATTTATAAAATAATATTATTTTGATAGGGCAATCCCCACAGACTCAAGGTCTTCTTACGGGGTACCCTAAGAATGAAATTGATCAGTTATATGAGTGCAAATATACAAATCCTGTATCCAGCAACTTCTTTAACATTGTTCTGCCATACTGTAAATGTATATATTATAGAGATGTAGAGGGTGAAATGAGCATTGCACCGGATTAAACCAGATTCTCCTGGCTGTTGTTGATGGTCTTTTCCAATCGTTGTCTGGAGAATTCGCTGCTGCTGGGCTTTGTATATTGAATGCCACCTGTTTGTTCTGTACATTATCATTCCTGAAATGCATTTCGTGGTTGTCGGCACCATTTCATGTGCACTTACCTACCAGTGCATCAAAAATTTAATAATTATAATAATAATAATCGTCACTTCGAGTAATATTTAAAATGTTCACGTACTTTATACAATGCACTTATGCGTAATTCTATAATTTTTGGCTCGTATAGTTATTTTAACCCAGCTGCAATGACGCTTGATATACATTTCTTCGTCCAGTGCCGTTGCCGGCTGAAAAAAGTAAGAAACACCTTCAAAATAGCATGTTGCTATGTCAGTTGCTATGTAGTTGCTATGGAAACGGGGTATGTTAAGATAATTGCTTATTTTGACTTCCCTGCAAGCTTCCCAAACTGACAACAATCAAAAATGATCTTCTATTAGGTCTCTCCACATGCTAAAAGAACAAAATCGCGGTACACCCAAAGTGGGAACGAAAATCATGAATTCATGCACTTGGCTCACAGTCTATGTTTGCCTCTCGGCTGACACATCTCCTGCCGATGTATGTGAGCCGGCGTCCCGATCCAAATGCGATAGATGTGGATGCCTTCCCGGACTGGACAAAGTGTCAAGGTTATGCCAACCCACCTTGGAACCTGATAAGCAGAGTAGTAGCACAGGTCTGCCCTCAGAAATCTCGGATAGTGCTTGGTGCACCGGTATGGCTGAGTCAACCGTGGTATCCAGCCCTCCTGGACCTGCTGGTAGAGGAGCCCCTGTTGCTTCCCAGCACTCCAGATCTGATTCAGCCGACGCACAGCGTAAACGAACCGGAGATAGTCCCTCGTCTAGCCGCGTGGAAGGTCTCAGGAAAAAGTACACCAGTCAGAATGTTTCTGAGGAAGCTTCAGAACTCCTCCTTGCATCATGGAGGCAGAAATCTACGAAGACGTACGACTCCCTATTCAAGAAATGGATGGGCTGGTGTCGTGAACGGAACAATGATCCCTTTTCAAGTGATATAGCCACGATTGTCAACTTCCTGGCATCATTGTACAAAGCTGGTTATCAATACCGCTCTATCAATATTGACAATAATTACAGATCAGCAATTCCTGCCGTCCAGAAAAAGAAAAGAAGAAAAAAAACTGACAGGTATGACACTGGTCAACACCCAAATGGTATCTCGTGCGGGTATCGATACTAGTATCTTCAAAGCACACTCTGTGCAGAGTGCTTCTGCATCCGCAACAGCAGATGCTGGTACAACTACGAATGATATCTTGAAAGCAGCAGACTGGAGCAGCCAGTCGGTCTTTCAGAAGCTCTATTATTAAACCCCAGCATGATGAGAAATATGCTCAGGCAGTTCTCTAGAAGCTGTCAACCACTGGCAGAGAGCTACAAAATCACATTGATATGGAGACAGAGCATTCTGAAGTATAATTACAGAATGGCTCAGACCACGCAGTGGTTGCCAGCTATTCTGGATTATATGAAGAATGTGATGTCGAACATATCAATGTCCCAACCCTGACCCTCCCTGTGTTATAATGCACATAATATGCTTGTTCCGAGGCTCGCTATTCAGAAGGCCGAAGAACATAGAGGGAACAAGGGCTTTTATCAACGAAACCTGGTGTTCGACGCATGCGTTAACACCAAGGATTCAAATAAAATCACAAAATTCATGAATTTTCACTACAAAAAAGCTATCAAGAGTTAGGAAACTAGGCCAAACACATTGATATGTTCGACATCACATTCTTCATATAATCCAGAATAGCTGGCAACCACTGCGTGGTCTGAGCCATTCTGTAACTTACTTACTAGCCTGTTTGACCTTTTTTGGGTGCAGTCCTGTCACTCGAGTTGAACTCGAGTTGAACCTTGGTGTGAAAGTTGTCGCCTGCTGGCGCGGTGACCAGGTGATTTGGGCACCCAGGAGCACGTGACCGCTTGTTCAACCATGTTCGATTGGGAATAAAGGAGGAACGCTGCATCGCAGCCTTTTCGGACCAAAACCAGTCGACTCAGCGTCCAAAAGACTACAACATATGGGCCAATCGCGGTCATCCGTGCTTTTATAAGAACGAAATGGCGCTTTTAGTGACATTTTGCATACAAATCCCCATCTAGTAGGGCGCAGTCACCCAGTTTCGGTGGAAGTGCGCGAGTTCGATTGGGATTCAAGTAGGAAGGGAGCGTCGCAGCTTCCTCGGACCAAAACGATTCGACTTAGCACCCAGAAGACTACAACTGGTGAAAATTTGATTTTAGGGTATACTTCCCCTTTAATATTATTACTGTAGTAAATCACTGACCGGGGGGGGGGGGGGAATATTAAATGATAATTATTATGATATTGGGGTAGTATAAGATAGTATTGGATACATGAAGTTTGATGATATTACATTTCCAGTTGATATTGAGTTACACATTTGGTTGTTGTCGTGATTGGCTTTTAGAAAGAGTCGAGAGAGAGAGAGAAAGAGTCGAGAGAGAGAGAGAGAGAGAGAAACATGGGGAGACAGTGAGCAAACTAGAGAGAGGTATCCGGTTGAATTTGACGTTGCACTGTCGGCGTGACTGTAGTGCTCCTACGTAACGGCACCAGGGTACGTGTACAATTATTATCTTTAGTACGATTCCGTGTATCTCTTGAATGTCATGTTCCACAAGCACACCAGACTTTTAACTGAAATGCACCAGTACCGTGAATAAGAAATTACTCCTCCGAGTATGCACACACCTTGACCTTGCCCATTGTGTAGCAATGATAGCGCATTGTTATTTCTCCAGTCCACGCACACGCAGACACACAGACACAGACACACAGACACACACACACACACACACACACACACACACACACACACGTGCACACACCCACATCACCCCCCCCCCCCCACACACACACACAAACATACATGTGTATGCACACACACACACACACACACACACACACACACACACACACACACACACACACACACACACACACACACACACACACACACACACACACACACACACACACACACACACACACACACACACACACACACACACACACACACACACACACACACACACACACACACACACACACACACACACACACACACACACACACACACACACACACACACACACACACACACACACACACACACACACACACACACACACACACACACACACACACACACACACACACACACACACACACACACACACACACACACACACATCCACATATTCATTCAAGAATTTATAGGAAGCATGCACCTAGACAACAAACTACATACACTATCACGTCAAGACAAGAGGTACACCACGCACCAGCGCGCTTGCATGCACACACACACACACACGTAATTATACACACACAGACACTGACACATATACACAGACACACACATACACAGACAGACAGACACACACATACACAGACAGACACACACACACACACACACACACACACACACATACTGGTATACACACCATGTACAATGTGCGATGTATCGCCCATCAGAAGAGAAGCATGCAAATCTGCAAAATGCACTGGATGTGCACCCACAGATTTTCTCTTATAGCAACGATAGCGGACAAGATCTGAATGAGACAGATCAAGACTAGCGCCAGATAACTGTCCAATCCACACAATCTGCGAAGCCATGTGAATCGAACACCAAATGGCAATGCATACCTGGTCTACACTACACGGAGTACATTGTCAAAAAAGGGCCAAAACAGTAACCTATGCACACCCTACACTTGCTGGGGTAACCAGTATAGACAGCACGCTGCTTTGATTGAAGCAGACACTAGATGCACTGGTACCTTGAAGTGAAATTGGAGTTACTTTACCAACCAGCCTCGGCTACTGAGTACTGGGAACCCAGAGCCAACAGACATACCAACAACCACACAGACACATCGACATGCACACACACTTGCACACACTTGCACACACACACACACGCACACGCACACACACACACAATCACACATATCTGCGTGCAGACTTGCTCACATATCCTGCAATCAGAATGCAAAACAGTCCAGAACCACTGGGTCCATTCTCTCACAATTCAGCCAAAAGGAGCTTTTCAATTGATGATGCTTAAAAAAATTAAACGATAACCGTAGGAGTTAACATTAGATATGCCAGCATAAAAAAATGGATGGATCGTAGCCAGGCTGGATAATCATTTGAGGGGATGGCTGCTATATCAGAGGAATCTATGGGTGGGCGGAAGAAAAACGAGTTTACAGAGCAAGACATAAAGAAAGAAAGAGCGAACCACCACGGTATGCCTGAAAGCGTGCAGCATAATAATCATCTAGTTGATCATCTGGCTTAGTTGACTCACTCAAAAGAGTCCATTCTTGATGCTGGTTGCATAAAAATCTAAGTTTGGAAACAATACAATGTCATACTGATAGGACATGAAGACCGTCAAATGATTACTGCCAAACACACACACACACGCACGCCGGTGCGCGCGCGCGCACACACACACACACACACACACACACGGTCATGATGTTGCCCACCGTTAATCTCCACGAAGAAAAGCAACAAACGTCAGCGTAGCATTGCCAAACTCTCCTTGTTGATCTCGTCCCGCTCAAAACGCGTCACTTTCGACAGGACCGAATCTAAGGTGAGGTCATCCAAATCGTTCGCTTGGTACAACGACGCACCGCTTTTGGATGCCTGTTTTCGCATAGGCGTGCCGAACTGGACTCCGTTGAACTTCACGCGCACAGACTCGCGCATGCTCTTCCTCGTCAGGGTGTCCGGCACCCATGTGATGAAGACCACCTTGTTACGCTTGCCACCGCTGTCTGTTGTGTACGGCAGGTTAACAACAGCCCAACGAATGTCCTGATCCAGAGGACTGAAGTGAGCGAGCAACTTTGGCCACAGTCCGCCATCCGCCCAGTCAAACGACGTCTCCGGAATGATCTCCGACTCGTCCTCCGTCAGCCGGAACACGGCAGCGAACTGCTTGGCGTTTGTCACTGATTTTATGCTCTCCCAGACGTCCTCGTGTACTACAGGATCCTTCTGCAGCTCCACGCCCCCTGCACCGTCCGTCTGCTCCATGGCTAATTAATGAATGGCGAGCTGTGCTGCTGATAATCACGAATACAACAGTAAGCGACTGTACTCTCCAGTCTGTAGTATCGAATGTACTATATATCGGGGTTCACTCAGTAAGGGTATTCAACTCAGTGTCAGCTAAACAGCTTTGACCACTCGCGTTTACTAGCTTTAGAACTGGAGCTCAACCAACTCACTTCAAGTTCCTGTTGGCGACTTTCTGACTAGAAACAGCACCTGGAACACCCTTATATTTCGCTAGCGATGTCGTAGGTCAGGTGTACAAGTCCGCCGGAGTTTGTCATCTAGCGTTTTTTTTATGACAAGCGAAAACTGTGGATTTATATCAACAGGGCCATATTCGGTCAGTTCGTCCACCCCACAGCGTATCAGTTTTGCTGTCGTGGCAAAGCTGAACTCAGTTCAATGGCAGCTTTGCGGCGCCTTCCGAGAACTCACACACTGATATCGTCAGAGGTCGAACCTTCATCGCAAAATGAAGGCTTCACTTCACTGTCTTCCATGGGTCTTGACAGTCTTCGATCTTGTCTTGACACAACTCGACTCTGACTCGGACTCGCTGATGAATGTGATGATGCATCGAGATGCCGTTGATCAATCACGTCATGAGTACGCGAGTCGCTTATCATACGTCATACATGTACTAGTAGTGATGTAATGATATCGCTTTTGGAAAGGGGATTCACCAGTCACTGGCAGTCACCACACTGAATCTCCCGAGTGCCAAGTAGAGCGTCCGTCTCAGTTATCCAGGGAGTAGTACAATACCGGTATTGTACTACTCCCTGCTCTCATCTAGTGATCTACCATGCATGCAGCATGATCTACTGTACCATGGCATGTGTAGTGTGACATGGTCACAGCTTTGTTACTCATAACGTTACGTTAGTATGTCATACTCGACTCATGCTCATACGGTCAGTTTTTTTAAAGTAATTTTTTTAGTCATACAGACTCAAGAGTCATACGAAGTCTTCTACTAGTCTGAGACAAGAGTATTGGCACCAGTGTAGAATTGCACACACACACACAAACCCCATACCCAACTCATAATGACTCGCCGCTTTTCAGTCAGTCCTTGTGCCCTTGATCATTCATGCACATACATGTTACGTGGCATGCAGCAGCGTACAGCGGATCCAGTAATTGGCTAATCGTACCATCATTGGCATGATGTATTTCTGTAGTCACATGATTTCCAAGAACTAAGTCACACGGTGAAGTGTGTGTTGCTCCCTAAGTAGGGAACAACACACACTTCCCCAACTATCGCCGAAGTCGCACCAACCTCTAATTCACACAGTATTTACCAAATTATTATACCCGCTGTTAACTCAGCCCACGCCCCACGGCCAGCAGACTAGGGGCGGCATGCAGGTCACCTGGTCAAGAGACCGCCTGGTTTTAGTGACCACCTTGTTTCATCAACTACTGTAAAAGCAGAAATTTTCGGTGGTGCAATATTTTCGGTATTCTCCAAAACCGGCGGTTCGGTAGAGGGAAATTTTCGGTAAAACCCGTTCTCCAGGTAAGTGTGCTAGTACTGCACGTATACAATATCGGTTGTACTGAAATTTTCCGGGCGTTTTATTTTCAGTAAAAATTGTCGGCACCGAAGTTACCAAAAATAAAACACCACCGAAAATTTCTGCTTTTACAGTACCTGGACTCAGCAACCACCTGATCATGAAAGAGGCAACTACTGAATTACTTTGACACCAACTCACTGCCTACGGTCTACAATGTTCAAGGTTCGAGTAAAATAAGGATACCACCTGCGCTCAAAGTCAAAGACTGTGATAGTACAGTACATGTACCATCAATGCATCATTATGAACACTGAAGAGTGGAAGTAAAGCTGCAGCCTCCCAACCTGCTGTGCAAACATGACATTGTGTTCTAGGAGGCCTTTTGCTACAGTGACGACATGTAGATTTACACACACGACACGCACACACACCTCCTCCCCCCCCCCCCCCCCCCCCCACACACACACACGCATCAGGCTCTCGCTGCCACGTACATGTAAGTAACACACTCCAGACAGCTCCAATCAGACACGACGGCTTATCCGATGATGGCAAGAAGACAGCACATCTTCCACAAATCCCTGCTGGGAAATTTGAAGAATATTACTCGGTAGGGTGAATGTATTCCATAAGAATAATAAGCCGGAGTTATAATATTACGACTGGCCCGTGATGATCTCGGCCATGCACTGAATTTTGGGATGTCACTCACAAAATTCAACAGATAATTTCCCACAGCAGACGACAGAAACAAAAACAGTTACGCCAAAGAAGTACTGTGTTCTCTCACACAGATCAGTAAAAGAAAATCAATTGTTTTCGCGGCTGTTTTAGGCAGATTCGCGATAAACTCTTTCAAACGTGCAAACTTACGACGACATTGGTTACAAACTTGAGGATCAAGGCCACCGCAGGCCTATGTGTTGCCAGTAGACCACTCAAGACAGGAAGAGGGACCCGCCATCAGCCATAACTAGTTACGCGACCAGAGACAGTCAGAGACTGGAAGACCGACCCCACATCAGCCACCACCGTGTGGCGGTCACGAAAAAGCTAACACCACTGGTCAGCCACTACCTAACATTGCTGATGAGCAACTGTGAGTTAGAAAAGTGGCGGTGATAGTGTAGCAGAACTACCAGCAGAAAAACCTGAGCCAACACCAGTATGGCGTTTTGGATCATGAGTAGGATTGTCTAGCTGTTATCATCGAAAAAGACGGGCGCAATGACTTCACATCTGTGACAGCAGCCGGTTAAGCGATTGCCCTTGTGGCGAACAAGATGAAGAACAAAACAAAACAGGAGCAACTACGAAACTAACGGGCCAATAGAGTGTAGACTCGCAAGCAAGTGTACCGATCGAGTAGCTTCTGCGCTTCAAGGCTTGTCCCATTTCCTGTTCATGAGACGCTTGATCTGGTAGAAGACAAGGCAGAGACAGAAAGGACTCTGTTTATATCAAGGCATTCAGTAACTTACACGATCATTCCACACACCACCATCCACAAGCTGCAGTGCATTCACATGTACAAGTAGACAGAAGTCTCCTGTGATCACCATTCGATGTAGGTTCGCTGATGACTAGGGCTGACACGATTATATCGGTTATCCGTCTAATCGATCATTACAACGAAGCGATTTCGATTATGCTGTCTGTTTCGATTACGAGATTCTAAAAAACAAAAGAAAAAAAACGTTATCAAACCAGTGAGTAAGAAAACAAGATAACATCTTTTTTACGGTTTTTATTTATTATTTTTTACATAACATTGTACTGTGAAGTAGTAGTACAGTAGTAGCAAGAATACAATCTTGGTAGTAGGATCCGATAATGTTACAAACATTGTAGATCGTCAGTGCATGTACGCTTCATCTGTATGTATATGTGTCAACACGGCATGCCTTGTGCTGGTCTGGCGCGACACTTTCTAGGGCGCAGTAATCGGTATTATAATCGATAATCGAATCGATACAAGGGTAGGTTAACCGATCGTTGAAAAGTGTAATCGTTTCACCCCTACTGATGACTATCGAAGAAAAAAAACGTATATGAATCATTGTGTTACATTTTTCATTTCATGATTGTTTCATGGTATCATGTCGACATCAACTGCTCTATTTATCGCATTGTTAAGACAGACGAAGGATAAACAATTTTGATTCACTCCTTGCGCCGTGGCTAGCTGTCTTACAAGTTCTTCTTCGATGCTAATATATAATATTTTTTACGAATGAGTTCAAAAATTGCAATTTGAACTCGGATATGGAGCCAATGTAATCAAGTCATGGATATACGAAGGAAGGTCGCAGTGTTACGAGTTATGAGTTATGACCAACTGTCCACCAATGTAACCAGATACTATACAGTCAGCAAGTGCGACAACAGGGCCTAAAACTGACAAGGAGACATTCAACAACCTGACACCAATACATCCACGAGGCACAAACCAACAACCTTCCAACTTGGGAGGCTCAGGTTAGGAAAGATCCAAAGAGGGGAAGGAAAGTGCAATGAAGATGAGCACGAGCTATGTCCCGCGGCAACAAAGAATGCCAAACGTTACTGAATGATGACGAGACTAGTAAGAAAAAATTGGACGTACCTGTCTTACTATACAACTCGGCCACGCAAAGAAACAGATCGCCCAACTTGGGAGGCTCAAGCTTATAGGATAAAGTTGGTCGGTCCGTTGCTTTGCACGGTCGAGTTATAGCACCGACGACTCAATGCCGGGAAAGGCACACACCAACTTTATTTCTTGCTCTGACATCCCGCAAAGGGACTTTCTCGCAGCTGCAGGCATCCCAAAACACAACCAATGGCTAGCTACTAGCAGCCTAACATTACTATAAGTATTCCCATCGAAACCAGGCTGGCCTGATGCCGATCGCCTGGCAAAAAACGAAAATCTCAGAGCCCTAAAAATTCTTACCCATGACTTCCTATGTGTGTGTGTGTGTACGGCAACAGCCTACCTCTTTATCTCGGCATATATCCTTGGCAGTGTCGCCCTCTCCGTTGATAATCGTCGGGTCAGCAGCACCGTTCATCAGTATATTCACTAACTCCTTGTGCTCACGTCCGGCAGCGGTGTGGATGGGCGAGTTTCCAGCATAGTTGACAGCATTCACCTGGGAAGAAGAATGAGAAGAGAGGACAAGAAAGAATAAGTGAGCAAGTGGATTCTAAATTCTAAACGATTTCGAAAAACTTGTACACTGCACGCACATGTGGCTATAAAGGCTCAAAGTTCATAGCAGAAATAAAATAAAAGTGTCATGGCTGCTATGTCCACTCTTCACATGTTCTAAACTCCAAGTAAAGTTACGCTATCCGTGGCTGATAACATACTTGGTCCGCGTCAGCGATATTGTCGCTCATCTTTCAGCTTTGTTTATATGTCGCCAAAGCTCACTTGGCAGCCCATTTCATCCCAATTTTGGTTAGTAAGTTAGTTTACTAGTACCTGAAAGGTCTAGCCACAGTTCGAGTGGATTTCGAGAGCGACGAGGGGGGGGGGGGGGGGGGTGATTCTGATTGATACAGCGCCGCATCAAAATAGATGATCTTGTTACGCTGTGCAGGCAAGAGCAGCGTAAGCCACAAGAAAGTAATCGGCTACTCGGAATCAGCTCCATTTTGCTGAATGGCCGAGATCGCTCACCTCAGGGATCGCTCGTCAAGCTGAGATCTCAGCTCCCTTACCTACAACTCAACGCTCGGAGTATCCAGTTCGTCGTGGAGATTTGCAAGTACTGTGCGTGTCGTCGTCGTTCAAAATAAAATCTTGCAAAGAACGCGTCTGATTTGAACCACACAGACTGTCGTACTGCCCACGCGAAGTCCTATAGAGAAGGCGACCTTTACGATCGACTTCTGTTTAGGAAATAGCCAGGCAGCGGAGAGGAAGAGAGATGAGCTTGCAAAAGCAAGAGAGTCGATCCCGAGCAAAAATATTTGTCACCAGCGTCGAGAGCAGCGACGAGGAGGACCGACAAAAGTAGGAACCCTTCCTTGGACAATAAATTCCTTACAGCTAGTTGTCATTCTATACCTTACCGTCCATCGTACCAAGTTTTATCACTTCAAGTGCACGCGTTCATGTCCAAAGTCTGAGTTCAAATTGTCGAAAGATAAGCGACAATATTGCTGACGCGGACCAAGTACTAGTAAACTAACTTCAGGGCTCACCACGACCATACAAAGCGTCAATAACGGTCATTTGGATTTGACCAATCAGCGCACGGCAAAACGGGCTGTTTCTTGCAATTGTGGGGTGTTTTCTGAGTGGAGCTTGTCTGTATTCGTTGGTTTTAGACATTAGGCCATTGTGGATTCGTGTTCAGAAGGTGTGTCTTTGGAGGGTTACCGTCTCGAATTTTTCGATTTGGCCTTCGTTTGGCTGAGATCGGATGGTGAAATCACTCAAACGCGAAGGCGTGCGAACAAGTGAATGAAGAGAAAATTAAAATTCGGGGACGGTAAACCGATAGAGAATTCCAAGACCTTGAAAATGAGCTATCGATGGTGAGAATCGGCCAAGGAGAACCGCTGTTCTACTTTTTTGAAGACATCAAAAAAGGAGAACCTCTGTTCTACTTTTTTGAAGACATCAAGGTCGGCCGTGCGTCGCCGCGCGCACCAACAAAAACTGGCAGCCATGCGCATATCTGCAAGTGCAACAAGAAAGGACGGAGGAGACAGCAAGCGTTCCAAGTTAAGAGGTCCTTCGTGTTGACTCAAGCTAAGGACTCATGCCAGTCAGGGATCATACCAGTCACCTCTCATGACTAAGGGATTCATTTGTGGCCAGGAAACTCCCCACTCGCAGCGTGAAAGCTGCGAGGCCAAACAGAAAAGAGTGTGCCGAGTTGCGATCAAGAAACGCTGAGTTCTACTGACAACATTGGTTAGCTAGGCGCGGCAAATTCTTGTAAATGCCAGGACTCAAGTTCACCAGTACCTCACGGACATATCTTGGTCGACACCCACCAGCGGATTGAGAAAAATGACCAAGATGGCTTGGAGAAAGGACGTCTTCTCCGCGTGTCTTTCCCGACAACAAACAACAAGATTCGCTTCGGCACTGGCCCTTCGCTGAACAGAGTAGACCAGGGAGTCGTAAAATACCAGTATTTTACGACTAGACTGTACATCGCTGTACATCGATGAGCATGAACTCGGGTGCGTAGCCGCTATGACTGCACAAACTCTGGCCTTGGCGGCATCGCCATGTTTTCAAAATGGTGGTCGACGCTTTTTGAATTTTGTATGGTCGTGGTGAGCCCTGAACTTACTAACCAAAATTGGGATGAAATGGGCTGCCAAGTGAGCTTTGGCGACATATAAACAAAGCTGAAAGATAAGTGACAATATCGCTGACGCGGACCAAGTACTTCTTTCTGGAAACAACATGCATGTGTGCTTGGATAGTATCTGGCTGAGGAAAGGTTACTACCAAAGGCATTGTACCGGTACTCAAAAAGGATGTGGTAGAGGTGGAATTGTTTCACCGTAAGACATGTAAATATAACGAGGACGTATCTAACATTTTATCGAGTTAAACTGCTTATCACCTTGCTTAATATCTTGCTACAGTCGTTCGTAGCTGCTTCATAACTCGTTTCCATGTGATTTCTTCTATTTTAATATTATCGAGTGGCATTCCTTCGTTACAATACGTTCTGTTGAGGCTGTAACATCGTAAACTTGCGACTCGTTATAATAACATGTCTTGCAGTAACCAAAAGTGGTACCGAGAGCAAACCATGACACTACATTCGCTTACGTTGGCGCCCGCATCGACTAGGTAGCGCGAGATGGGCAGGTGCTGTAGCTCCACGGCATGGTGCAGTGCTGTTCTGCCGGCAGTGCCATCCTGAACACAAACACATGAAACCAATGCCACGACAGCTATCACCTATTTCCGTAAATTATAAAAATTATGACAGCAAGAAGGAATTCGAAAATTTCTAGGAACTGAATGATCAGTGAATTTCGACCCCAACCCACATTTACCTGTGCCTCTTTGTCTGGCAATCAGTATTCTTGCACTATCAGCAGAGCTTGGTCTGCTGGCTCCCCCATACAGGGTGCATAACTGAGCTGCACCCATTGCCCCCACACACCCTTTAGTTGTAGGCTGGATAGCAAGCTGTTGAATGGTGTCATCCCAGCAAAAGTTGCTATGTCTAACATAGCTTGTCTGCTATTATAGCTTCAGCGAGGAGCAGGCGGAAGCGATGGAAGTGGATAGAACTCTCACTCCAAACTCTCCTCCTGAGCCGATCAGACACCCTACGAAATACTCTCTGGGATACTTCCCATTCCCCTCTTAAAAAAAAATGAAATTTCACGGTTTAAGTGAGACTGGGCTGGAGGCCGGGTCTTCCGTATCCGTAGCAACGCCATCACCTTCTATGGGTCAAGGCACAGATGCAGCTCCTAAAGCGGTGGGAGGTGAGTAGATCAGACCCACCCCCAAAGTGGTCAAAGACACCGCATCTATACGCATTCCCATAGTACCTTCTCGTCAATATCTGCACCATGGTCCAGTAAGATGTTCAGTGACTGCCCGTCATTGTGGATAACACTGCAGTGTATCGGTGCAAACCCTGAGCATCAAAAACACACAAAACACACTGCAAGTCAGCACTGCACAATCTAACACGCATCCACGACAAAAAACGACCTTGACTCGAAACTGGCAAGACTTTCAACTACTGCAAGGCCGCAGGTTTCATTGGTTGCAAAACACAGGTTGCATTGGTTGCAAAACACAGGTTTCATTAGTTGCAAAACACAGGTTTCATTGGTTGCAAAACACAGGTCTCGTTGGTTGCAAAACACAGGTTTCATTGGTTGCAAAACACAGGTTTCACTGTTTCACGGTGTGTATACGTGTAGTGGCCTAGTGGCTAGTGTGTTTCACCTTCGTAATCCTTTATCGACATATCCAGCTTGTGAATGGTCACGCTGAAGTGTTTGGCCACTTTCTCGTCTTGCACGGTGAAGAGCTCTCTCAGGCAGTCGCGACTGTGATACTTGCAGCACAGGTGCGCTGCAGTCCGCCCGTTACGGTCCTGGAGAGAGAGAGAGAGAGAGAGAGAGAGAGAGAGAGAGAGCGAGAGCGAGAGCGAGAGAGAGAGAGAGAGAGAGAGAGAGAGAGAGAGAGAGAGAGAGAGAGAGAGAGAGAGAGAGACAATTCAGACGCAAAAACACACACACACACACACATCAAACAAGAGCCGTTGATCTCCAACCCTTTGATGATTCGCTACAGTGAAAAGTGAGTGCAAAGGTGGGGACTGACGGCTATTTGTGCTTGACGGACACTAAAATGTAGAATAGCAATGCTGAAGAATACTCCCCCCCCCCCCTCCCCCCTCCCCCTCCCCCCTTCTTCCCCAACACTATTTAAAGGGGGAGTTAAGGCAAAAATTAAAATTTTACCAGCTGTAGTCTTCGGGGTGCTGAGTCGAATGGTCGTGGTCCGAGGAAGCTGAGACGCTCCCTTCCTACTTGAATCCCAATCGAACTCGCACACTTCCACCGAAACTGGGTGACTGCGCCCTACTAGATGGGGATTTGTATGCAAAATGTCACTAAAAGCACCATTTCGTTCTTATAAAAGCATGGATGACCGCGATTGGCCCATATGTTGTAGTCTTTTGGACGCTGAGTCAATTGGTTTTGGTCCGAAAAGGCTGCGATGCAGTGTTCCTCCTTTATTCCCAATCGAACATGGTTGAACAAGCGGTCACGTGCTTCTGCATACGCCAGTCACCTGGTCACCGTGCCTGCAGGGTACAACTTACTAGCCTGTTTGACCTTTTTTGGGTGCAGTCCTGTCACTCGAGTTGAACTCGAGTTGAACCTTGGTGTGAAAGGTGTCGCCTGCTGGCATGGTGACCAGGTGATTTGGGCACCCAGGAGCACGTGACCGCTTGTTCAACCATGTTCGATTGGGAATAAAGGAGGAACGCTGCATCGCAGCCATCCGTGCTTTTATAAGAACGACATGGCGCTTTTAGTGACATTTTGCATACAAATCCCCATCTAGTAGGGCGCAGTCACCCAGTTTCGGTGGAAGTGCGCGAGTTCGATTGGGATTCAAGTAGGAAGGGAGCGTCTCACCTTCCTCGGACCAAGACCATTCGACTCAGCACCCCGAAGACTACAACTGGTGAACTTTTAATTTTTGCCTTAACTTCCCCTTTAAGCCTGGCATGACACTAAAATATCTTGTATAAGTGGATAAGATTAGCCACAAGGCACCAATTGGAAACTTTTTAACTATTTTAAATTTTTTATAATGTTACAGTACAATCGGACCACAGGTACAAGTCAGAGAATATGCTTTAGAGAACTACAGTAGAACCTGTCAAGGCGACCACTCGGATAAGGCGACCATCTGTCCTAGAAGACCACTGCAACCAGGACCAAAGGATGCCATTTCCAGTCAAATGACCCTGGATAAGGAGACCACCTGGTAACAGAGGCCACGTTTTGAAGGTCCCCTGAGCGGTCGTCTTAGACAGGTTTCACTGTACATCATGCCATATTTCCAGGGCACGGACAAAATGAAACTATCGTATTTGCTGGAGTATAGCGTACACCTTGGATATACTATTTCAGGCCCCAAATCGCAGGCGCACACTATGCTCTGAATATGAAAATGCACGTACTTTAAACACCAGTGCAATGAATCAAATTATTGCGAAGTTGCAACCTCTGACCTGGAGCAAACCATACGATTATTGTGTGCATTACCTGGCCACTTCTGCAGTTCTGGAGCCTGGGCTATTTTGCTTTGTGATTTTTTCTGTCTTCCGGCCATTTATTTCCTTTCCTCCTTTGCTTCTTTAATACCTTCCATATTCGCTTTTATGTTATTGGGCCCGGTTCCCGTTTAATGTGCGAAGTAAAAAAACAAAACAGACAAACTGTGTCTACTGCCAGCTACACAGCTAATGCATGATGGTCACAAGACTCCATCGGTAACATGTGCATTATACAGATGTAAAATAGTCGCAATAGTACAAACTCCCATTCTTGGACGTTCTGGTGAGCCGAGAGCAGGACAGTTTCAAGACGACCATCTACCGGAAACCAACGTTCACCGGACTGTACACAAGATGGGACAGCTACGCACCAATTGGGCAGAAAGTGGCACTGATCAAGTCGCTAACTGTACGTGCTAAACGCATTTGTTCCCCTGAACACCTTGATGGGGAACTCTCCAATTTAAAGTCCATCTTCTCCCGGAATGGCTACCCTCTCCCACTGGTACAGCGAGTTATGTCTCAGATGACGACGAACGCAGGTGGTAAGGAGAAGAACTCCAATGGTGCTATTCTACGACTACCATGGCTAGGTGCTAGGTGACTCATCCCTTGAAATCAAAAAGAAAGTTCTCAATCTAGTGCAGCGCTTTGTTCCTCTTTGTTCTCCTATATGTTGCTTCACCACCAGGAAATTATTCCAAACGACCAACAAGGATGCCTTGCCGATGACTAATATTAGCAAAGTCATATATCCATTTACCTGTGAGTGTGGCCACAGGTACATCGGCAACACAACCCGATGCGTAGGTGATCGCATGTCGCAGCATATTCCGCCAAGACTAGTCATGGCCGCAACACCAGGTGTCGACAACGTCAAACCCAGGAGAGGAAGACCGCCCAAACAGAAGGCACTGGCAACAGCCCTGACAAAGCCAACTATCGCCGCTTCAACCATCATACAGCGTGTCGGATCCAAGAAGGTGCAGACAACAACCAGCGCTCGCCGCAGTACTCGGCTACTACAACAGCGCCAAGTTGCACGGACACCGACCAGGAGCCCATCGAATCAGGTAGCGCAGACTAACCCTATCCCGAGTAAGTGTGAACCCAACCAGCGTGATTCACACAACCCATCGGCTATGAAAAATAATAGTGCAATAACTACACATCTTATCATGTCCCCTTCTTGCCTTCTTGCCTGGTACGCGAACCCGTCGAATGTTTTTCTTTTTTTCTTGCCTGGATGCAGTATGTAAGAATGTTCCAGAGCACTTCAAGATTCACGCGCGGGCGCGCAGCAAATGTCACCTAGATGTGCTAGAGGCTGTTTACATTGCCAAGCTACAGCCTGAGCTGTGTAGACAGGAGTTTGTTAGCAAGCTAGTGCTAATTTGACTTCCCACCTCCCTGTTCTAGTATAGTGCTAAGGGATGAATTTACTGTCATATTTTCGCATAGCAGTTTGTGCTATACGAAATCACAATTGTGTAGCAGTCTTTGATTTTGATTAGCATTTTTCTTTGAAGGTCGAGTGTTTACCACATTGTCCTTGTTGAGAGTGCTGCATGAAAGCCCATTTGCAAAAAAAAGACTGAAGCATACACAAGTTCACGCAGATTGAGAGTACCTGCACCACCTACACTGCGCTGCATGCATGTTACTTGACAGTGCAGGCTAGGCATGGATAGTCTATGTATCGCAATTTTCTGCTAGTCATGGTGAGTTTTGAGTAGCAGTAGATCGATTTTGCATCGCAAACTGCGATGCGATACAGGATAAATTCATCCCTGGTGCGTGTACTCTTTGGCGAAACTCACACTATCATTCAGCCTGTGTACGTTTCATCACAATTTTTCCGCCAATATGCTGTATAAATTGACATTGTTGTGCTTCGTCACATGATCACCATGTACTGATTTTGAAGAGTAATGGTACGAAAGGCCTCATCAGATTTACAACTAGCTTCGTCTCTTCGTGTGCTGAATAGTACTGTCTATAATTAGTACAGAAAAGAAAAAGAACCAAGGAACTACAAGTTACGCTATAATGTCCACTAACGCCACCAGTTACTAAACAATCAGCTCATGCGATAACATAGCCCGACACTGACCGACGGTACTGACGTTCTACGACTAACTGGCTAACAGCTCTAGCACATCTCGGATGCGCACTCCAACAGCCTTCCAACTTGGAAGGTTCTAAGTTATTATGACTTGTACTTCCTTGGTCTTTTTTCTTTTCTATAAATTTATCCTTGGCTCTCTATCCGAGTCTATAATTGTTATGATTGTTACTGCTGTCAAATCTAGGTTGCGTACTATACCATGGATATGCCTTGAACTACACACTACCCTGGATATGACTTGAATTGCCAAAAAGTTGCTCAAAGAGGGGTGAGCATTATACTCCGGTGCACGTTATACTCTGAAAAATACGGTAGATGAAATTGTCCGGCTTTGGTGAGCGTAGTATTTTTACACCATACGCTGCGCATACACTGCATGGTGAAGACATCACTTTCTTTTCTTCCGCTGTCTGATGAGCGTTTCCAAACACGAAAAAAGTTCCATTCTCCGTTCTCCGTTTTTTTGGCCTTGCAGTACGCTATGCCCTAGCTAGGTCATAATTGACTAACAGCAGCAACGACCATAGACACTTTGCCACTCCAGTTCTTTTCTAGTAAAGAAAATGACCTTGAGATTCACTTGCAGCTCATAATACAAGCATACATTTCAGGACAAACAAGTACACTCGTAACTGGAATGTAATATGTTGCCAACAATAGGGGAAGCAGTTTGTACTCTGTGCGAGCAATTCCCTCGCAAATAAGTTAACAATTCCCTTGCAAACAAGTTAACAACTCCCTTGCAAGTCAAACCAGGCAGTGAAGCGTGGCACCGCTGTCATACGCACATGCTACTACCATACCTGAAGGTTCACATCTGCTCCGGCCAGGATTAGGTCTTTGACGATGTGGCGTTGACTGGTGATGACTGCAAGGTGGAGTGGTGTCTGCAGACAGTAGCCCACGCGCACACACACACACACACAAACACGTACACACACATACATACACACACATACACACACACACATACACACGCACCACACACATACACACACACACACGCGCACATACACACACCACACACAAACACAGCACACGCCACCAATAGTGTTCGGGATTTTGGTGCGTTGAGCACTCGACTCGAGCTGCCCGGACTGATACTGACTGTGAATGTAGACTTGAAAAGAAAGTGAACAGTTTTGCCATTGCAAAAGACATCAGTTTGATTGTAATGGCTTCCTCTGAATGCAAAAGCCTCCGAAAGTCTTTTCAAGCTCCAGCAATGAGAGGAATGAGTAACCTCAAAATTAAATCACATGTCATTTTTATAATTAAAAAAGAGAGGACCATAAGTTTACAAGTTATCCATTTTGTCAAACACTCACGATTATAAGGAGGATACTGTTGAGTCAAAATGTGCAACAATTAGCACAAAACTGACTGATGTGATACTGACATTCAACGACCTGATGCTTAGCTGCATCACGTCTGGAATGCGCAAACCAACAGCCTTCCAAATATTTTAACACTGCATTCGAGGAACTTGTCCATATTTTTGGTAATTTTGTTGATAGGAAACTCGTCTGATTCCAGTAATGCCATAATTTGCAATGAGGAACAACTTGAACTACCTAAAAATTCTCTGTTTTGAAAGCAAATGTCGTGACGCACTAAGCCGATCAGCTTCCATGGCAGGACAGCTGAAGTGTACGCATCCTGGTGAAAGTCAGACCACTCTATCCGGTCCGAAAGGCAGTCAGAATACCGAGGTACCACTGCACCATTTTCACTGGTAATTTCTTAAAAGAAATTACCAGTGAAGAAACAACACCTAACATACCTGGTAAAGATTGTTCCGCGGATCAACACTGGTTTTCGTCGCCACGATGGTCTCCAGAAGCTGTCGCGTTACCCGTACGTCGCCGTGAACAACGGCTATGTGGAGGCACCTGCACAAGGATTATAAAACAGCCAAACGTTGGCCCCTCTTCCCTCCCCCAAGAAGACCAGTTTTATGATGTTTCATAATTATCACTGATTTTTGATAATGGGTTTTGAATAGAGCCCCGTTCTCTAGGAGATATCCTGATCTGTTTCGTTTCATTGTCCAGCATAAGCGAATGTGTGGATCGAGCATGAATGCTTGGTTGACGCCGCCAATCATTGTATGATAATATTGAAATACGATTCTGTCACTGGTAGATCTCTTACGTGTCTCCGTCCTCATCTCGCTCGCTCACAATGTCCAGAGCTCGCTCCATGTCAGGGCTTCCACCGCGATCGGACGCCTTGTGCTTTCCGCGGAACAGGAGCGAGGCGTCTTCCAGTCCTGGCAGCGCATTGGATGCGAGTAACCGCTGGTCCGGCTGGCTTGTGAGAGTGCCGATCGGAGTCGGTATCGCCATGGTTGCCGGCGCATAGATCTGCTGGGGCGACGCGAAGAACTGCGGAGCTATGGCCATAGGGTAGTGAGCACCACCTGTATATCACACGACAATACCGATACAGCACCGCACCGCAGGACTTGAAGCATAGCACAGGTCTTAGCCAAACTACCACGGAATCTCTGAAAGTGGCTGCAATGGAGTTTGCCAATCTATAGACAGGTGTATCGCGATTGCTGCAAAGTGACCACGTGTAAGTGCTTGGACTCAGAAACGTAATGTGCACAAGACTGCGACAGAGTTTGCAAATTGAATTTAAATATAAGAAACAAAAAAAACAAAAAAATTGCATATAGGTGTGTATGTCTGTGCATGCTAGGACAATAATCAGTAAGGCCATCATTTTTTATAGCTATGTTTCGCGTCGTCCGCACGCATACGTTTTGACTTTTTTCGGAAAAAAAATAAAAAAATCGAACATGCACAGTGAGTGTATGATCGTGCGAGTCATCAGTGTGGACTGGTTGCGATACGGCGAAGCTGGGATTCAGAAATGGCCTCTAGGCCAGCGTTGGTAAATCGTTAGTTCGGCATCTGGGAGCAATATTCTATGAGCTTACACCAGACCGCATTGATCGCCTCAAGCTGAGAGGATGCGTCGTTCCGGAGCTCTTTGCACCGCTGCTGAAGTCTCAGTACAATAGTCCAGCAAAGCATGGGCACCAACGGTTGCCTACTCTCAGAGTCCTCTGTCCAAAGTGAATATTTACTCATGCTGATAACCCAGATGTTGTGCTTCAATGTACGATTTTTCTCTCGAATGTACATCATGCACGAGCTATTGCGCTATGTACAGTGCATACACCTCTGATGAGCCTTTTTTTATTATTTTGCAACTTTTTATTTTTTTCCACCTCTCGCATATGATTCTGGAAGTTGAACTGATGCGAAACATAGATATAAAAAATGATGGCCTAATACGTATATACTCTGAAAGACACAGGGCAGTTCACAAGCTTACCAGGGGCAATTGCAAACCTAGTGGGTGCCATGGCCGGTGCCATTATTGCATGGCCAAACGGCTTGCTGCCGTCAACGGCCATCATCTCCGGGGCGACCTGCATAGTCATTGCTTGCGGCGCAACCGTGACGTGCTGACCAATCAGCGAAGAGCTGGGCGTTTGAAGCGTGCCCACGACTGAAGAGATCGGCGTCGCGTGGACCACAGCGGTCGGCTGCACAGATGATTTCGGCTGCACTGCCGTCGCAATCGGTACGGGGTTGGACACTGAGCTCACTGCCACTGCGGCTGAATCGCCATTTTCGGCTGCAGGAGAACAGGGATAAATGTTGAGAAAGAGACTTGGCATTTGCTGTACATATATACACAGGGGCGTCGGACACGGTACGGTCCCTACGGTATTGGCCGTACCACTTTTTGCCCCAAGTACCCATCAATAAAATACAATGATCTGGGATCTAAATTTCGGGTCAGCCGCCACTTCCCCACGAAGAAATTGTACTTCAGATGGCTGACCAGACCACACTAAAATACCGTCCGACGCCCCTGATACAGTAGTCAAAAATGCTACGAATTGTGCATGCTACGCTTCAGACACGAAGTTGCCAAGCGGCCTGGCCCTGGGTCATAGAACAAGTCAACTCGTGTGACTATTCGTGTTAGCCTCTACAAGTGCCCGACACCCCCAGACCATGATACATCTAGTACAAACCAGTCTACGGGCAGTCTTGGAGCTCTAGGGGCCTCTGCAAAGAGCAGTTCAACTGTGTTTTCTTCTGTACGGATCGTGTGAAGGTCGAGTGGCGCCCAAGTGGAGCATGGGCGACGATGCTGGGGCTGGTAAATTATTTCACCCTTACGACTCTGATTAGTCGTAGCATAGTGAGATGGTAGACGACCGATGGGTTTGGTTCAGCGTCAGATACAAAGCAGTGGCAGTCCAACCAAGAGTCTTGCAGCGCTCTAACGTTATCAGTTACTGCCGCTGAAGACTGGCTCAGCTAGGCATCTTTTCGCTGTGGTCACATCTGTATTGTGACCACCGGCATTTCTTCTTAGCACTGGCAGATGCTAAGTTGGCCAAGAGCGATGGGCTGGAAGTCAGAGCATGTCATACTGACCCACAACAGCCACAGTATGCTAGTATGCAGGCACGTGTAGTTTTAGCTAGGCTGCAGCTGATAATACCATTGGATTGGCCGTTCTGAGGTTCTGGACTACAACAATGTTGCTCCTACCCACTAGGCATGTCTATCAGCTGCCAGTGGAGAATTCTCCACTGTCCATTCGTGACTTAGCTCTTGTCTAGGTGGGCAGGCTGCTAACCACCAGACCTCGTGCTATTCGACAGCTGCTGTTCACGTTCTTGGCAACCGGCCGTCACCGCTGTTCAGCTACTTTCAGAGGCGGCAGCACAGCCAGTGTGCTTGCACGCACGCACGTATAGCACTGGCTTCTATGCCCGGGAAAGTGCAAGCGATCGATGTTCCCGCACACCCCCAACTATAATGTTACTGGGGGAACTCCATATATGGCATGAAAACTGTACATATATTACACCTTCAAAATCACCACATAGCTCTGTCACGCTGCGCGATTGCATGTAGCTGCACATATCTACTTACTTCGGAATGAAGCGGGACACAACAAAAATTGCTGCAAACTGAGAGAGCAGCAATTTTAGATTGAGAAAAGAACTGTCACCGAGATCTCCTTTGCAGAATTCACAGAGGCAAGTCAGAAAATGAGCATCTATGGATGCAGTGGCCGGTGCTATTTCAGTGTTCGACTTTCATGTCCGTAATGATTTTTTTTCAATTTAGCCGCAGATCAATGGGTGTCACTCACTGTCCAGCCCCAGTACACTGAGAGGCAAAGACAGTATACTGAGAGGCAAAGACATTTAGCTCAAATGTAGCGAGCAGTAGATAACAGATGCAGAATCAAATCAGGTATGATTCTTCAGTAGGGAAGACTGCAGTGCGGATGGAATCAGCGTGCTGGCATGGATGCGTCGCGTACAATATTCGTAATAATTCAATTGTTTGTAACTTTCCTTATACCTGGCCCGCACTAGTAGGCCGATATTTCGGCAGATGCTCCACCACCGACTCCGGCATGAAATAGGCCGACTGGGTCGGACCACATAGTACACACACAAATTTGTCGGAAACGGGCGAGACAACACCGTCCACACCAGGCAATTTTCTCGCCGATCTTGAGGACTTTTCGTACGATTCGAATCGGCCGAAAAATCGGCCTAGTGTGGGCCAGGGAATTACTTCTGCTCATCGCGCCGACACCAGAATGGTGGTGCATGTATATGCTTTCGTGTGTGTAGACTACGTGTCATCACTGTCGAGTGTATGAGTTCACTTCCGTATTCACGCCAGGCTAGTATTAGGAGTAGGGCAGGGGAACGAGGCAGGTACTCCGTGCAGAGCAAGGGGAAAACGAGGGATGGCAGGCGCGACTGCAGGGACTGCTCCGCCAGGCTCGCAATGCCTGCCCTGCGCTGATTGAATACCCGAAACTCCAATGAAGACTCGCCATCGGCCTAGTTCTCAAAGCCGCCGTTTTTCAGTATTAATCTTCAATTCCTTACTGGAACACATGAAGGAAGAAATCAGAAAGGAAGGCTTGAAGGAAATTGTCCCAGCTCAATAATTTTCGCACCACCCAAAGCCTCGACAGCTACAGATCACTTACTAGTTTTTTTCTTGTTGTCTGCGGCCTTTTCGCCTTTTACCGTTTTACTTCTGCTTTTCCGCGGCTTCCTAGCGGGCTTCTCCTTCACTGGGGGAAGAGTCGGAGTTGCTGGCGCAGCTGCTGCAGGTTCACACGCAGTGGATACTTGGCAATCCTTCACTGGAGCACCATTCGGGCTAGAAGCGGACGATGGAGACGACGTGTTGGGCATTTCTCGCGTCCTAGCCTCCTCGGCAGCATGCACCAGGAATGACAAACGAGACAGGTCTCCGTGCCCAGCAGTCTTTGGCAAATCTCCATCGTTCGACACTGCCGCCGCTTCAGGAGCCTTAGTTTGAGCGGTGGCAGCTTTCGCAGCAGAAACCCTATTCCGAGCGCGTTTCTTCGGGGGCATATGTTGTTCGTTCTCCATCTTAGTTCTTACGTTGGAGTTCAGCGAAAATTTGAACGAGTCCAAGTTCACAGGTCTCGTCGCGATCGCACTGAGTCTTAGGATTGCCCAAACAGAACGGAATCGAACAATGAACACAATCAATATCAGCTTCGTTTACCACAAGAACACTACAGGCGCTGCTAGCGCGAGTTCCTTGTTGGTCCTGTGATTCTGCAAAGCAACGGCAGTTCTTCTACACGTACTACCAGTGAAGCAGGTGACGCTTTCATGGTACTAGTACTACTAGAAAAGACCGGAGCCAAATTAGTGGAGGGCCTGCGTAGAGGATTGGGAAAGCGGTAGCCACTTGCATTTCCATGCATTCGGCCAGAGAAAAACGCCTTGATTTTGTTGGACCCACGCCACTCACGGTCAGCAAACTGTAGTACTAGTCTACGTAGATCTACGGCACTAGCACTCATGAGTCATTGCAAACTGCAAGTGCAATGCACTCCACGGACGGTCCAGTCGAGTCAGCATGGACGTGTTCTGGAACTTCTGACTGTTGCAAGGCATGCGATATCCACGCAGGGGCTGCACGCAGCTGAATCGGGGATGAAGACTCGCCACCAGCTTGTGTACCCGAGCCGACCAGTCAGTACATGCCAGTGCATGCCAGTGCCAGTGGCCAAGCGCGGTGGATGTACATGCACAGCAGACTACGTAGCGCTAGCGTAGTAGTAGTACTGTCAGCGCTGCTTGCAAAGATTAGACGTAAGTAAGTTTTAGTCACGACTGATGTCTGAAGTGAAGTGAAGAGCTCCACCACCTCATGCTACATCAGTCATCATTATCATGGTGCGGCGTGGTTCTTGTGACACACTGAGACTACAATGGCTGCTGCAGTGCTGGCTGAGTACAAAATCACGTTCCTAGACCAGGGCCTGGCCCATTTTGGTATCACTCTCCACTTTCAAAGTCCTTGTCGTCAGCTTTGCTCCCACTCAATGACATGACGTCACTAGCATGTCAAGGAGGAGGACAGCTAGCTAGCACAGTAACAGAGAAGAAACGAATGCGAAGCTCGGAAAGGGACCGGTGCGTGCAAGGCAGGGAGTCGTACAAACACGACTCTCTGTGCTAGCGGTGATGCGCATTGCGTCGCTCACCCAACCAGTGCCACTGGGGCCTGGTGCGGGATTTCCCCTGCATGCATGGGGATGGGCACTGGATGATACGTCATAGATTGTCGTAAGAGGTAGCCTACATATACCATATATACAGGCGCTAGGCTACACTACAGAGTACAGAATGATTACAGACAGTACAGATATCGGGGCCTAGATATACAATGTAGTCTAGACGACACGTACATGTAACTGTACTCGTCAGACTCATACGTAACGTAAAAATCGTTAGTATCTCTCAGCCTCTTTTAGGGGAAAAATAAACACAATGAATATTTTTTCCCAAGAGTTCCAAAAACTTCAACTCAAAGTTCTAGAAAGAAAAAAGAAGGAAAAAACACGCAAAAAACAAAACAGCATAATAATGTATAATACATGTACATGTACCTACTTAGGTAAACAGCAGCAAGTAATGTTCAACTTCAAGTCAATATTCCAGTCACTGTTACCGCTCGTGCACGCTTAGCCAGTACCCGGCCCTCTACCACTGCCAGCGCAGCAGAGGTATCACCCACAGCCAAGGCAGACTGACTAGAGAGCCCTCTGCACCCTCGGAGGCACATGATGCAGGACCGCAAGAGGGAAAAAGCGATCCTGCACCTGATGAAAGCCATCACATGAGAGTACTACTCCCCTCTTTTCGCCGCCAACAGAGAGGCCACTCGTTTGTAGAGGGCCGTTGCGACCATGTCGTTAGCATACATGTACTGACAACTGAGAGAAGGACGCTATGGGGCAGAAGTTGGAAGAAAAAAAGAAAAAGAAAAAGAAGTCTTTATACAAGAGAAAAGAGCGAAGAAAACAAGACGACATCAGGAGTAGTCTCCTAACCCCCTAGCACAATGAGGGTCAGAACCGGGTGCGATACCCATAGTTCAAATAGTCCACAGGGACCGGGGCTCTGCCAACCGCGGAAGGTTGTAGTAAGGTCACTGTTTCCGAACACAGTGTCCTCCACCTTATTTCATGCTGTCAATCTAACAATTGCTGTTTTCTGATGATCACTTAGTACGTGAAACTCGGAGTAAAAACACTTTTTCTGTCCTCTTATTGTTTTCTGTCCTCTTATTGTTTTCTGTCCTCTTATTGTTTAAGGAGCCCAACATCAGAAAGACAAAGAGAAGAGGACGCCCATTGGGGCCGTGTCTGACTTGTAAGTCGGGTGGAGTGAAAATATGTTTGAAGAAGAATGTGATATACCGGCTGCAATGCAAGTTGTGCAGGGAAAAATACATCGGAGAGACGGGTCGCACACTGGAGACAAGACTGGAGGAACACAACGGTGAAGCTCGTAGGCGCACTGTGGATAAGCCATGGGGTGACCACATGCAAGCTAAGCATGCAGGGATCAACCTAGGTGTCGGGGACAGCATCTTCTCGGCAGTGTCTGTGGTTGCAAGAGCCAGTGACAGGGCAAGCTGCAAATTGCGAGAGGCAGTGGAGATCAGAAACGAAGGCCCAGAGATCAACACCAGTACTGGATGGTCATTACTCTAAAACAATCACACCACACTGTCTATCTAGGTGACAGTATTTACTGGAAACCACTGACATGGTCACATTCGTGAATTGCTTGCGAGAAACCTGTTCAGACATTTCTCAAGTTATCTGGTGACATCTGCGCTGTGCTAACTTATTACCAACACCCAGCATATGAGTCAGTGAAAACTTGTGATCTTTCACTAGTTTTAGACATGTCATATTTCTAGCACTGAG